TAGCAAATTCAGAAACCATCCGTAATCTCACAGAAACAGGAGTAACTCCCACTTTTTTCCTGTGTCCCCTCTGTAAGCGTGCCATGTTGCATGTACTGGAATTTCAGCCCACACGAGGACAAGACTGAATGCTGCTGCGATGCTCTTTTGAGTTCATTTTCAAGGTAATGTATAGGCTATGCAGAGTCAGGGCCAGTGCATTGCTGGTCTCCCCACAGCCACACACGAAACATCCCAAAGGAGTGAGGCAGAACACAGATGGATTACCACATCTCTGATGCATGAGAAGCAGCAGCGATAATGCAGTCTTGGAATAGTACAACCACGGTGTATTAATAAAAGCATGACGCACTGCAACTGATTTATGAGCTTGGCACGTTAGGTGGGAAGAGAATATGCCTGGTTCTGATAGAGCTGGCAGGTTGTTCCTTACATCCTCCAGCACACACAATCCACTGACAAGTATTTCGTAAGATTTACGTTAGCAAGTCACAGCTGAGCATGTCTCCACAGACAGTGTATGTAAATGTTATTGTGCGAGATTGAGTTCTTGGAGTTGGAAGTGTACGGCCACTGCTCAAATATGATACATGTCACAGTCTCAAATGACCCAAATGCACTCCAAATACCTCTAATATTGCTCTGGATGATAAGAGAAGCTGCTTTCTTCCTGCTTTCCAGAACCAACTGCTTCAAAGTCACAGGGAACTTCCAGTTTTCATCTAGCAGCAGCATGATGTAGAAGCAACTCTTGATAATCCCCATTGGGACATACCACCAGGGTGTGTTAGTAGATGTCCCCATTGTTTCTTAAATGAGTAGGGATTTATTTCTATGCTTGTGGGATACTGCAAGCTACAAGAAAACTTTCAAATGTTTAAAGAAAAACTTCATTATTACCATTATTCTGAAACCACAAACTGTGCAGATTTTCATGTATTTATGGGTAGGCAAGACCAAAGTCTATAAACTTCTCAACATGATCAAGTCAGTCTGCTTGCTATGTGCAAGGAATTTCGTAAAGGTGACTAAATCACATCAGCTTTGCTGGGTATTCTTTCTACAGTTGTGATGCTGCACTCATAAATATTTCTTTCAAAAGCAAGCATTGCAGTTACTACACAATCTCATGGTATGATCTGCCTCCTTGAATCTCCTCTGCTGCACTGGAAGGATTGACACCAGCAAGGGAGATGCCTGATCTCCTTTAGTTCCTCTTCCTTAGCAAGTTCATGTTCTGAGTTTTACTGCCAGAACCAAACTACTGGAAGATGTCCTTCTTTCTTCTGTACCACTGCAAAAATAAGTCATACAATTACAAAAGGTTGAAAACCGAAAATCATAATTACACTTTCACAAATTACTCATTCCACATCATACTAGATAATGGCAAGACGTTTTAGAACAATAGATGTTTTAGAACTGCACAGCCTAGCAGCAATTATATGATTTGATAATTTACAACCATCTCATAACACTGTCTGTCAAACTGGGGGGCCACAGGAGCCCTTTGCTAAGACTTTAAGCCTTTAATTTTGCAGTTCTCTGGCTCACCTTTCAGCCAAGGAAGTGTGTCTTCTGCAAAAGCTGATTGCTTTTCCACAGACCTGTGTGACCTGAGCTTACAGGTTAAAGTTCAGTGTCCACCTGTGTAAATTGTCTGCAAGACTGAATTGACAACCATGCCCCTGACCAGGTCATGCCTGCAGAGCTGAGGTTATCTTTTCAGAACAGGGCTGTGCCACATTGCACAGACAAGGGTAGAAAACATTTTTAACAAATGTTAAAAATACATACTTAACAGTATTTAGAATTTCATTACGAATTGGAACTTCAGATACCTACATTTGATAGCATTAAAACTTTTTTACAGAATCAAAAGGCTGCATGCTTCTACTCCTTCTTTTCCCTCCACAACATCCCAGGGAATTCCTATTAATGGATATAGGGAAGAATCTTACCAGTGTAGGCTTACATGCAGGCCACAGAAAGGATGTCTGGGCCATACATCACTTGGCATATTTGGTTCACAATTAAAACTTTGTCGGCTGCTGATAGGTACGACGAATTCCTTTCTTCAGTGCTTCACATATCACTTTTTCTGGTATTTGAGACATGATGTCTTGTGGGATGGAGATGGCACAAAATACATTACTGTTGGCTACCATGTCATATCCAGGATTCAGTAGCAAATAACTATTTTTTTTTTAAAGTGATATTTAAAAATAAATAAGATTTTCCTTTACTAATTTATTTACTATGTTTACTGACAGTGCAAGCAAAAGCAAAAATCCATTCTGGGAATGGACGGGGGCACAGGTATCCTTTCTGTAATGATTTCATATACCAGCTTTATTCAAACAACTTCTTACTGACCAACATCATAAGCATTTTAGCTAAGTGAATGTATTGCTGAATACTTCATTCAGCCACACGTTCTGTGCATGCAATGCAGATGTAGAAGTTAAATATTCTCAGGCTGGCCACTTTATAATGCTTCAAAGAACACACAAAATAATAACTTGTTACAGACCCTACAATACACACAGCAGTATGCCAATACACCAAGCTGGAAAAATTGATCCTATTCCAAGGCAAGTATATTATATAAAAAAATTAGGTAGGTTAGTATTACTTTCAGACTTGCAATAATAATGATACTAATAACAATAATAATAATTTTTTAACACCTACTCTGGATTAACTTGGCAATCTGTTACATAACAGTTGTGGTACTCCCCCAGCAATTTCAGCAGCTCAGCTATGACTGTACACACACCTTTCATAACCTTGTTGGTGATTTTAATCTACCTCAACAACTGCTGTTCTCATAAATATTTCTTGCAAATGAAAAAAAATCATTGTAGTAATTATGCAACAATTTTCTAAATTGCTATAAAACCACCAAAATAAGCCAAAGCTTCTGTTTTTTTCTGTGATCATAAACAAGGATATGAAGCTCCCTGGAAAGTAAAAAAGCAGAACCTACCTGTTAAAAAAACTTTATAAGGAACACCATCATTAACCTTTGCTAGCTATTGGAACACTGCTTGCTCAGGTTCTGTGATTAGCCAGATTAAATTGTGTTTGGCACTAACATGATGCTCCCTGTGTTGAAATAGCACATGGAAAGTAGCAACACTGCTACTGTGTATTGTCCAGCAGTAAAACACCATGATATTACAGTGATTATTCTTCATATTCCAGAGCACTGCAAGCCCCAGTCATGAAACTACTGTATCAGAACAAAATGACTGTTCTTGTCACAGGGAGCTTGCAAGGGGCATGCAGGGAGGTGATCAATGCAGACAGACTGGAAGGCAAAATGAACACTGGAACAGTTTTCATTTACACAATAGATATGACTCCTTGCACACCAGTAGCATAAAATACTAAACTTCTGTATACATCAACACCAAGGGGTTTTCATGAGGGATGCAGAAGACACCAAGGAAGGAATCTTCCAGAATGTTATGCAACATCACTTCAGAAACAATGGGCAATTGGAAACAGAGCCTTAAAATGCTTATTTAGAAGTCTGAAAATGAAGGGTGCAGAGGCTGACCTGGTGGGACACTGAGCCCAAGAGATAACTTACATAACATCTTGATTTGAGTAAGAGGGATGGTGTAACAGCAGGCTTTGGCAGTCATGAGCAAGTGAAGAGAGAAGCTTTACAACTAATGCAACAGAGATGGCAGAGCCAGGGCAATAACACAAAGCAAGAAGCAACAAGTCAAAGCAAAAGACTAATAAACAACCCACTCTGCAACTTTCTCAGTGGCTGTGAAATCAAAGCTGTTTAGCTGTCAAGGACAAAAAAGGGACACCATTAATTCAGATCAGTATGATCAGGCTGGATGGGACAGTAAACTGAATGACTAGGTAGGAAAACCAGAGAGAGACATGCTGTAAAAGAATGGAGACTGAGACAGAGCTGGCATAGGAGGTTTTAGAAACATGCAAGTCGAAGCTGTTTGCTAAGCACAGTCGTATCAACAAGAGGACAACAGAAGCAGAAACCCTGAGGGTTACAGAGTTGGGAATATTCAGTTGCACTGAGGCTGTCTTGAGGTGTCAGAGATGCAGACTAAGCTTTTTGTCAAAAGGCCACTCCTATTCCCACCCTTGTGTAAGAGGCACATCAAAAAACAAAGCCTCTTTCTTAAGGCAATGGGCAGTACAAGTAAATCCCAACCATTCTTACCCATGCAACTGTTATGGAAAAGACAAGTGGGATTTTTGGAAGAAGTCATCCATCCATCCATCGTTAGATGGAACAGAAACACACAGACTACCAAAGCACACAAAATCTCATTGTGAAAACCCACCAATAATGCTCTTACTCATACTTTCCATGTCGCCACCAGTGGGATTTTTGGAAGAAGTCATCCATCCATCCATCCATCCATCCATCCATCCATCCATCCATCCATCCATCCATCCATCCATCCATCCATCCATCCATAGTTAGATGGAACAGAAACACACAGACTAGCAAAGCACATAAAATCTCATTGTGAAAACCCACCAATAATGCTCTTACTCATACTTTCCATGTCACCACCTGAAATACTTGAAATGCTCCAAGATCCAGCAGGAGGAGAAAGCAGGAAAGCATTTATTTCCAGAACAGAGTAAACCAGCTTTCTTTTTCAGAAGATGCATCTACAGGATTGTCCTGCAAGTAATAATGAATCTCAATGAGTGCCATCAGCGTGGCACACCCAAACACAAGCAGAGAGCAAAACCTAAGAGAACACTCCATCGATCCTGCTTTCCATAAGGCTTCATTCTATTTTGATAGACACAAAGCTGTGAATATCCTCATGGGCATTTTAAAAACTGTAATTTCAACTCTGAGGTTCTGCAAGCTTTGTTTTCTGTGGTGTATGATATCATAAACATCCTGAATATAATTACAACTGCAATTTTGTGGGCTGTATTTTCCCTACTGGTAGCCCAAAGCTGACGTTTACAAAAAGTCTTCTGCACACTTATTTGATTTGAACTTTTTATTATTATTACAAATGTATATTATTTTATTAAAAAAATTCACACTGAAGCAAAGTCAATTCCATTTCATTACAACCAAGAATATAAAATAAATGCAATGAACTCATAGCTTAGTTTTAACAGTCATTTCAAGAGTGACATCAGGACAACTTAAAAGCAGTAAACTCTCAACTCTAGAATGAGAAACAAGTATTCTGCTTCGTGGTTTTGGTAGCCCATTGGCATGGGCACTACTGAATGCAGCCACCACAGATCTAGAGCGGGAAAGTTTTGTGGCAGCACCAGGCGCATACACAGTCATTTCTAATGGAAACTACAAAAATGAAAGATGCGTGCATGAAATTATTAGGAAAAAAAATAACTGAGTAGGGACAGGCACACTTCCACAAATAGTAAACATGGGAATATACAACTAGAACAATTTGAAAAGTTACTACCTTACATATATAAAAAGTTCTTTAAATTGCTGTTAAAAAGGACATGTTCTGTCCAGATTTTGTGTAATACTTTTTAGTGTCTACACAAGACAAATTTTTAAAAAAATTAAATAGCATTAATTTACTACTAAATATTTAGGAGATAACAGTGCATTAAGGACTTTTTTCATATTGTAATACACATTGCTCCTGTCTGGCGACATTTTTAGAAGATTACGTATGGCCTTATGTACAATACATTTATTTAATCCTAAAACAATTCTTTACTTAATGGCGTTAAAGTACCATTCCTGAAGATTATGAAGGGGAACTAAGCTTATTATGTTTATATAAAATATCATACATATTTGAACACTTCTAGCTTCCCGCCACCCCTCCCGCTACGAATGCGCTCCCCTCCCCCTCCCCAGATACAGTGTCACAGATACAGTGCAGGAGTCGCAGCTTTCCCTATAGTTTTCCTTCATTGTGCAGTTTGTGCTACATAAACCTCACCAACGCGGAGCAGGCTGCTCATCCCATTAATTCCCCACGTGTTTGTTTCCTCTGAGCCATGAAAAGCTGTGCTCAGCAGCCCGTTCTCCCACCAGGATGGAGAAGACAGCTCTGTGCCTCTCAGTACAGGTGTGAAACACTTTGCTGAGGCTCTATAGGTTGTGGGCAGAGACAGAGCTGAGTAATAAAGAAACTGCACAGGCAAAATAACCCCATAAAAATGACATGGTCCTGGTTTCCCACGACAAACTGCACAATTCACTTGTGAAAGCGGAGAGTTTTTACCTCCTGGGATAACCCCTAGGCAGCAAGGCTTCTTCCACTATGACTGCCACCAACCCTGGCAGCATGCATCAAGCTCCCAAGAAAAAGTAACTTATTTCACCCCTGTGAAGAAACTACAAGAGTGTGCAGAGCCTACATTTTGCAGCCAGTGCTGTTGCTTCTATTCCCTCTCCTCCCGGCTGTGAATTTGGAGGATCAGAGGAAGTCAGCTCGGCTTCACCTGTGCGCATAAAAGCTAGAGAGAGGAGTGGCATGTGGGCATCTATCAACCCAACCAAGACAAGAAATGCGAGTACAGCTGAGAGAGGTTGTGGCAGTCACTCTAGAAGCTGGAAGTTCGTTCAATTAAAGCACCTTACATTGCTGTGAAGTTTCACACTCTACATACAGATTAATCTACACCATGATTTTGCCTTATTGGCACAAGAGCCCACCTTAATTAACCAATGGTCCCCTGCCACCTCCTCATCTTGTATGAATTTTGATGATCAGCTGCATGTCACAGCAGGGAAAAGAAATGTTAGTTAACTGTAGTAGAAAAGACAAAATAATTTTGAGAGAACAGAAGGATGAAAAGAACACGAGGGGACAAAAATCACTCTGCCATAAGTTAATTTCCAGAAATGTGACATTCAAATTGCAGAAGTATAAAAGAAGTGTTACTTAATAGCATTGGCCAATTATCCATTTGATCAAAATTACCTCATCCTAACATCAGTAAGGGGGGAGACAGAAAGAATGTCACCCCACAGTCACTGAAATAAAGGAACAATTAAAACCTGTCCTTTCAGAGTACTACGGTATGAACAAAATGTAGCATTTCAAGGGTTATGCATTGCAAGTATCCTTTGGGAGATTACTTTTCCCCAGAAAGAATTTTTCCCTTCAATTGCTTCATTTAATTTTTCATCACCTTCTTATCCATTTGATGACTAAAGCAGGTTTTAGCTGCTTTTCTGGAGCAGCTGAGTGTTGTCAAAATCACATGATGGTAGGTATGGCCAAAGCAAGCCAACTGCTCACACAAAGCAGGAAAACAGCATGAGTTTGAGGAGGAAAGGGGCACTAAAGATGACTGGGAGATCAAATCCACTAGAACCACATATGTGACAAAAAGCATTCTCCTCAGAGCAAACAGACCTACTCATCTTGCTACACCTGATCACAACTTCAGTGTGAATGTGCACGGGTACACCATTTTTTTGTGTGTGGGCACAGGACAGAAGAGAACACTCTGCAGTATAAAAACCTGTTACCACTGACCATTTACACCTGAACTCCTGCCACCTCTTCTCCGGACACCAGCTGTAGAAGCTCTCTGATGTTACACTGCCAGAAGCATTCTAAATGCATTCCTCTAGGTTTTCTGCCACAGGAGTCAGCCTTATTTCTGAAGGCTGAAGCAAAAACGAAGCTGTCCCAAATTACATGTTGTGTCTCTGAATAACTGTGGTTCCAGAAGTTGGACAATAATCCTCTGATTATGCTTCTGAACTCTTGCTTAATTACTAGGGATTTTCTGCCAGCTACCCATCCACTTACAGTCCCTTAGGCACAATCAAAACATGTTTGCTCTAGGGAAAAAGAAACATTTCAGTGCAATCAAGCGCATCTGGTGTAACTAATCTGGTTAATCACAGCAATGTGAGGGACACAGAATATGCATTATAAACAAGAAAAAGGAACAATTTTCAACATGCTTTTCAAACTGCACAATAATTTCTCTTAATTATAAATTCTAACATAAAATGATTAAATGCATTTGTTTTTGCAAGTCTTAGTATTTCTGTCACCTTTAAATTTTGAGAACTGACTCAGGAATGTGAAAGAAAGCTAAATTTATAGAACTCTCACACACATTAATAAGCTACTTCGCAGAAATACAGAAAAAGCCCGTCATCCACATTCCTACTGAGACTTGAGGGCAGTAAATACATTTTCCTGACTATTTTGGTGTCCAGCCTGGGAAGACATTCCATTCTTCTGTTCCAACAGATCCTGAAAGCATCTCCTTTTAATGTGACTGTCCTGGTTTCGTTTAAAGTAATGCTTAATTTAAAACTAGTCAGAGCATGATCACTGTGATTTCAAGAATTCAATGTGAATGAGTTAAGAAATATCAGCAATCTTCTGTTTGGCATTCAGTCCAGTAGCATGAAGCATATCTGTCGCTGCAGAGACTTGGGTGGGTTTTTTTTCTTTTTTCATTTTTCTTTTTTCATTTTATTAATTTTTAAAATTTTTTATTTTTAATACTTTGCCTGAAAACTAGACTAATAAAAACAGAATAGTAAAATACTCTGGAACAGTAAAATTTTGCTGTTCTTGACATCCATGAGCAAAACAGTAATATCCTGTGAAAATAACATAGTGCTTTAAAAAGGTGCAATATACCTGTATAGCTAAACTGGTTTGCCTAGTATAAAACTAACTATATACAAGCTTGAAAGCCTGGGAGTTCAAGATTTTAAAACTTTAAAATCCCATCAAAGAGATTGAAAAGACAGATTTATGGCAATCACTACAGCATAAGGAAGGTGCACCAGGAATCCTTCAAAATTCCAAAGGTTAAAGAAGTTAAGTGCTGGGTTCAGATCAGAAGGGTTCATTATTAGAGTAACCACAATGGAGCACATGCAAGGGCAGGAAGGAAGGAAAACTTCACAAGAATCTCCTTTATGGCAATAAAGGGATGGGGCAGGGATGGGGGAAGTCTTCAGTGAGTGAAGTTTTCCTTTTATCATCATGAATTTTAATTCTGCATCATAGTTTGTATTTTTGGTCTTCTCATCGTTATGAACTTCATATTGCTGGAGTCTTCTGGCTTCTAGTCCATTCCTTTCTGAGTGCAGCCTGTCAGGCCCCTCAGTACCTGTGAGACTGATGAGATTGGTGATACTGAGAGCTCTGCTGAGACGATGTGGAATAGCCCATTGTACTCTGGGACTGAGAAGATCCCTGAATGTTGCTTTGGTAACTCAGGCGCGAGCTGGAGTGCTGCAGGAAAAAAAAGAGGGATCAAAGGAATGATCATAACAGGTCCAGCCTGCTAGGACCATGCAACTCAGGAAATTTTTAACCTCTCTGGTGCTTATTAAAACATGATTGTTGGGGAAGATGACTAAATAGTGCTGCTTTTTAGGGTCCCATAAAACAAGTCATCATTCTGATCTGCAATCAGCTTTAACACAGCACACAAAATACACAAGAACCCTTGGGGACACCTAAAAGTACAGCATCTACACACCCATTTTCTGAAGAAAAAATACACAAGAGACAAAGATAGTAGACTCCCTTTCAAAAGTCATCTGTTTTTTAAACTTACATCTATTGTTACTGTAAATGCTATTAATGACAAGACTACAAACACCTTTCTCAAGATAGGCAATACTAAGCATTATAAAGACTTTATTCTCTTCTGAGAAAAAGGCAAACATGACTACTACTCAATTTATCCAAATGAAAAATTGTCCATTAGGATTAAATAATTTAATATTAAATGAGTCTTTTAACCTGATACTTTAACTACTGCAAACAAAGACAATGGCTTAAAAATGGGTATGTGTATGTATATAACCTAACATTAATTTTCCTGAATATTTTTTTTCCTCCTCCACAGTTTGGGACTGTCAGCTCAGTGGACACCAAACTCAGTGAGACAAATTTGTGAATCCTACAACCTCCACCCTGCTGAATTTGCCCTTTCATTCTCATAACCATTTCCCATTCAGAACTGATTGTGAGCTGCCCAATAATGCAAGACACAAAATCACTTGGCATGAGAAGTACTGCTCAATGGACAGGAGACAGTCCAGCAAGGTAAACCCCACCACAATCCCATGATAAGGCTGGTTGTGTTACACAGAGTCTGAAACCTGAATTTTTTTCTCAAAATTCTGGGAAGTTTTGCAACTTCTAATGGAAAAGAAAAATAATTGTAAAAAATTCTATGACTTTATAGGTGCTCTTTCTGGATGAAAAGCATCAGCTCACCATGGTAAGCAAAATACCCAAGGTCACATAAGGAAGGCTCAGTAAAATTCAACAGTTTTGCACTGTCATTTGTGGAAGTAATATATATTGAGGCTGCTGAATGACAACAAAAACTTCAACAGAGACTTCAAACCACAAACTAAATGAAACTCAAAGCAAAGAGAATATTCTATCTACTTCCAAATAAGATAAAATTGAGTGAAATTACTGCCTTAAGACTAAAAGAATGCATTAACTTGCCCATGCTTATTTTTGTTTCACATATGAGAATTTGTTTTTAATAAAGTCAGACTTGGACAAATTGCAGACATTCCTTCCTGGAACAGAAGATCTTCAGCTAGAAGTTAAAGGCAGATAGCCAAACACAAGTGTAAAAATGGATAATCAGACCATACAATTTAGTGAATGACGTAAAACAAGCATACAGATCATGATTTTGATGACTGTGCTGTTAAAGTTTAGAAGGAAAGCATCACAGAGGGCAAAAAAATCTGAAAAAAAGAATATTTACACTACTAGCAACTTGTAAGGGGGAAGTTAGCCAACAATTCAGAGAACTGGATAAGAATTCTACAATGGATATCCATCAAATGCAGCACACCAGTCCTCAAAGTACAGACCAAACCAGACCAGCCATAAATACTGTGCAGTCAGACAGATCAGTACATCTGTCCAGGCCTCAAGCCTGTCTGGAACTTTTCAGAAAAGAAACCTAGTTGTCTTTTCCCTTAAATTGCCCTCAATGTCTTCATGACAATTTGCAACTAAAGGAGTTAAACAAAAATGGGAGAAATATGTCTGGCACTGAGTAATCAATTGTCTGTGGAGAAGGTCTGGAGGGCTAAGTCAAGACAACTGTAGAGCTGGTGTCTTAAACCCTACTTATTTTAACTTTAAAGCAGCCTGAAAAGACCATTCTCCAAGGTGGGACCCTATTGGAGGCTAGGAGCAGACAGAATCCCTAGCATAATTTAAAATTTACCCTTAATATCTAACTTTCTTTTTTATTTTTCTTTCAACTAATTACTGCTCCAGAGAGTATAAACTCTGAAGTACTGAAGATCCTGGTAAGTTCAATGCTTTCTATATTTAATGGGAGTCACTTTTTCGGTGGAAAATATAATTCTAGTATGCAAAGACAAGTATGCAAATTCAAATAATATCCAGTGATATTGCTTTTCCTTATGAATGCTACTGCACTGAAAAACATGAAATCTGTTCTACTTTGGTCACATTAGAAACCATGCATGTCTTTGTGCCCTACCCTGGCATGAATCAAATGGATGAACCAAATTGTCATTCCTGTGTTTACATGCATTTTTTTTCTTTAACATTAGAAGTAGTCCTAGAAAGATACCAGAATAAACTACAGAACCCCTCCATACACGTGACAATAGGAGGAATGAAATGGGAGAGCCTGATTCTAACTTTGCTTCTCCTTCTCAGGACTGTCTCACATCTGTGAGACATGGGATTTAATATTGCCAAGACTCGAGTATCCTGAACTTGATGTAATGCAACATTTACATCCACTGGCTTCAGTAAGATTACTCTAAAATATAAAGTTAAGCAAATATTTAAGTGCTTTCCTCGAGTGGACTAATCCTCAACACTTTACAGGGTGCAGTAGATACAACTCAAACTGGTATTCTATTGAAAATAACTAATCACAGAACACCACCTCATCATGCCTCAGGTTACATCAAAAATTCATGAAAACGTGGTCTGACATTAAATTCTTGCAGCTGGGAAGAGGGAAAAATGACATTTTGGCCCTCGGCCCTATAGTATCAGAAGCAGCAAAATTTCCAGAGATACCTGATAATCTGAAGGCATGACAGGCCCGCCTGAGTTAGCGCCTGAAGGCCCAATGCGTGGTTTCTTGTTGGGAGGCACCTGGTTGAGGCTGGAGTCCTGGCTGTGCTGGAGCCCCGCGCCCGCGCCCCCTCCGGCCGCGCCGGCGCCCGCCGCCGTCCCGTTGGTCTGGCTGCTGTTCTGCTGCTGCGGCTGCGGCTGCTGCGGCGCTGCCTGCGCCTGCTGCTGAGGTGCTGTTTGCTGCTGATGCTGATTCTGCTGCTGCTGATTCTGAGGGAAGAAACGACACAACACGGTCACTTCTCTGAGCAAGGTTTGTGAGCTTCACGGAGCTGCCAACCCCGGTGTCACCGGGGAGGAGGTGGGCCCTCGTGTGATGGGAAAACACAGCAAGGCTGAGTGCTGGGAGAAGTTCACCCCCAGCACAGACCTGCACACCTGTGGGGTGTCCCACCTGTGGTCATTTTGCTTTTTTAATGAAACAAGCTGGACTTAAACTGGAAAGACAGTCTAGTGCCTCCTACAGCTTCCACAAACAATCCTTCCTCAGGGAAATCTTCTATTAATGGGCTATTGAGTCCCACTGATAAAGTTACATCATCCCACTTTGAGATGCTACACCTAGGGGGAGGAGCCAAGCATTCCTACCTGGATATAATCTGGGATATAGAACACCACAGGCAGCCTTTTCCACTGGACTCCAAGAGGAGCAGCTTTCTTCTCCACTAGATTCCCAGAGAAAGACCAGGCCCATCTATACCACCACTGAATGTTCAGAGGAAAACTGCACCCTTCTACAGGATCACTGCTTCAACATAACCCCACTTTCAACATAACCCAATCCTCCAGGAGGATTGCAGCCACCATTTAATCGGACTGCTACCAACACCTTGACCCATAGGGTGTCAGGTCATATTCTAACTCTGTCAGTGGGTTTTTTGTTGTTGTTTGTACTATTGCATTTGTATTTTTAATTTTCCTAGTAAAGAACTGTTATTCCTATTCCCATATCTTTGCCTGAGAGCCTCTTAATTTCAAAAATTATAATAATACGGAGAGAGGGAGTTTACATTTTCCATTTCAAGGAAGGCTCCTGCCTCCCTTAGTGGACGCTTGCCTTTTCCAAAAGACACCAGGTGCTAGGAGAGAATTAAAGGAACCCTTTATAAAGCAGTAATCACCTAATGAAGTAAGTCAAAGCACCCAGAATTTCACTAGTGCTCAGTAGCAGACATGGGGAACCCACAGTAAGTTTTTCTAAGTGGTTCAATGGCCTTGTTAATGCAGAATCAAAACCACCTTGCAAACTATCACTTTTCACCTGAAGAAGGCTGACAGCATTACTGCCAGAAAGGTAACACACTGAGACCAAAGGAATTTTATCATGTCTTCCTGGTTGTGAGAAAATTCTGTGACAAAACCAGAAACAGGTTTCATTACTATTTTGGTTTCCTGTGCTTTTAAGCAACTTGTGAAGAGTGCTGTATTGGGAATAGGGCCCAGCACAGTGCACAACGTACAGGGTCAGAAAATCTTTCTTTATCAGAAATAAACCAGAAATGTTGAAGACAAAAGAGGAGGAAACAGCTAAAACAAAAATCTGGCAAGGGAAGGAGGAGACTAGCAAAGGAAGATAAGCCAGATAATTAAGATGACACTGATCCTAGAAGGAAAATAAACAGAGAAAAGTGTCACAGAAGGGAAAAAAAAGTTTAAGAAGAAGAACACAAGAACAAAAGATATTGAGAGCTCTTCTGGCTTCAGAAGGCTATAGACTAAAAGGAGTATTTGAGGAAGTGGAGGGAAAGTCAGAAAATTAACTGAGTGCAACCCTGTCCTCCATGGTTACAGTTCTGGGAAAGATGTCACTTGCTCATCATGAAAAAAACCTTCAACTGACATGGATTGAATTAAAAAGCCTTACTATCCTTCCCCTAACATACTGTAGGGAACATTGTTTTCCTAGAATATCTGCTTATATAATGAACAAAACTTTAGTATGGCAGCCTTTTAATTAAAACCTTACTTTATTAGTTTCTCAGAAATTATGACAACCAGTTGCCACTAGCAAACAATTCTTCATGTCCCCTTCACCTTGAGCTTTTAGTTACCTCAGATAAATGACATAAAAGATCTGCATCTATGCCATTCATCACACAAGATACATTCCAACAAAATTTGCAGTGATGTATTCATTTAAGATTACAAAGAACACTTGCATCTTCAAGGACTTAAGAGATGGCCTGAAATTCCATTTCACATTTAGCAAAACCCATAATGTATCCTCCTGCATGTAGTTGTCAAATCCCATCTCAGTCAGATTCTATTTCCTGGGAGATTTAGACCGCAGTAATCTAAAAAGTTAATCAAACTAGCTTGTAAAAAAAAAAAAAACAAAAAAACCAACAAAAACTATCAAGAAGCAATTTATTTTCCATAATAGTTTGATCTTCACTTACACAAACAAAACACCAAAAACTAAGGTACTATTTGTGTTAGAATTCTGAAATTTGTGTTTTCATAGGAGTGTTTGGATATAAGTAAGGTAGTTACTATTGTGTGAGCTGAAAAACTTCAAATTTTTTAATACAGAAACAAATATTGAAGGGACTCTCACAATTAAAAGCAAGAGTTTGTTTTAAGTCCCAGGTTTTGTACTTCAGATTTTAGCACAAAATGTAGTTGACTGCTCTTGTGTGGAACTGCTACTGCTGGCTAGAGACTGAGATCAGCTGGGGCCTGGCTGCACCATCTAACTGCACAAAAATGACTTTTTGACAAACAAAAACCTTGTCCTCAGGTCAGTCTGTTCATGGCAGTTCCTAAATGACTAAACTCATGAAAGGTCTACACTTAGCAACCCATTGCCATAATTCACCTCTCAGGCACAAATTACAAAAATGAAATTTCAGTCCTACCTTGAAACGAGGCAAGCAGAAGCTCGCCTAGCAGAATTTGAATGATAAAATAATATTTTTTCACTTTGTTTTACAAACCCTTATTTTAGTCTTGCTAACTAACAATTAACCATTTTGAAGAATGGATGCTTATGCTAAATGCTTATTTAATTCACATGTAAGTTCCAAATAAACAGAGACAACTTCTCCAGGTTTTCAAATGGTTGTACAGATATTTACGGTTTTAAAAACAAACCAGTCTAAAAAAAATAAAACCTTTCATTTACAATAGCATCATAAAGGAACAAAACATGGAACAGATTCAACTTTCAGAATAGCCTTTACCTCCACATTTTCACACATTCAATGAGTAATATGGGACTTGTATTACCTAAATGGCCTAAGAAAAAGTTTAATTTGGAGTGTGCATAAATACCTGACTGTCCTCAACAATCTCAAAGACCATTTACATATTGGCTGTTTTAAATACAAACATGCCATTGTCATCACCCCTGCAATAATCCCAGGGAAAAGACAGGTGTTTCCTTTCAAGTGCACTGACTTAAATATAAAAAAGCCACAGTAATTTTAATTCACAAGGTTTCTTCTTGTTTTTTGAGGCTATGACAGTTGAAACAAAACTAGTAACTAAATTACAATCAAATTAGTATAATGAATTTAATTTTATTTTTGCTCAGGCGTCTGTTTCCTCCTCTGGATAAAACTATCTGGACATAAAAATCATGGATACTACCACTTGTTCTCAATAAAGAAGAATCTGCAATATCAGCTCTGAAAACAAAATTTGTTCTCTAAAATGTAGGTTTAAACCCAGCTAGTTTGTCATGCTACGCAGAAAATTGAAAACAGAATATTCATGTTGTCAAATGGTTTCTCTGAAAGACAACAGCCCTTCTCACATAGTCCTCAGATAACTGCAGTTCAAGACTGTTCTCTTCATATTTGGTTAGCTATACATCACTGTTGGTGCCTCACTGTACCCTGGTCCATGAAAATAACACGCTGTTTCCTACACTGTAGCACCATTGTCCAGCCTTCCCAGCACCATGGGACAATCGCTGTGGTCACACAGCACAGCTGAGCTACACACACCAAGCACAGCAGATTATGTTGCAAACACCCCAGAATTTATTATGCACACAAACAAGTTCTTGCTCATGTCTATGGAGCTATGGAAAAGAGAATATTCAGAGCAGATTGTTGTTACCGGAACGGTTCAGAACCCTTATTACTCCTTTGTCTGAGGGCCCTTACAACATGATCAGGAAACTGCATGCAGATGGATGAAATGTTCTGATGTAGTGCCAGAAGCAGGCTGCCACTATTTATTTGAGACCCCAACAGCCATCTACATTCAAATGGCTGGATGGATGCCAGTCATACAATGAAAATGCCATTCTTTTCATGTGCTCACAACGCATTTTCATCATGCGATGCTGCAGGAGGTAGCAAGGTCTCCTTGGAACGACAGCAGCTGAGAGCAGGCTACAGCTGACAGGACAGCCCATCCAGCTCATTCCCCACAGGTCAGGGCAAACCATGCTGGTGATACCACCTGAGACACCCCAAGGCATCTGATACTTTTCAACTGTCTGAGAAGCAGTTTTAAGAGAGCTTTGCCTTGGAAACACATTTTTGTTAACTCTTTATGTTTCATTAGTTTTCATTTGGAACCATGATGCTTTCTTATTGCATACTTGAAAGTAAAAAAGCCCCAACCAAACAAGGAGTTTACTGTACCTTATCCCCTTTCTCTTCAGGTTCATCTTCATTAAGGAATTCTCTTTTCGGATAAGGAATCTGGCAGCCAGCAAACACACTGAAACACAGTAAACAGTAAACACTCCACAAATACGTACACGTGGCATACATTTACTTAATGCTATGTTAAAAACAAGTGCCTATAACACAACTTCATTTCTTGTATTTGACAAATCCTGTTTCCACAAGTGACTGGCAGTGTGAGCACCCAAGATAGGTGCTGATTGTAATGTCAGATCTCTCTGCTGTTGGCACAAGGCTGTCATTTAGAAATCATGGCATGGTTGAACATGCCCAAATGCCAGAACGACCACTTGTTGATCCAGATGGTAAAATGAACAAACACAGTGTCAGAGGTTCCACAACACCCAGTTGGAACATGCATGGCTCACTGAATAAAGGGACTGATCCAAAGAGTATTAGTATCTTATGAGCCTGCCTTGGCTTACAACAGACTTCAATATACTTGCCAATCACAACTGCAGAGTTACTTTCACTAAGCTTCTCAGGTCTTGTTTAGGAAAAAAAAGATCACTTTTAAATTCATCTGACCAATGGAATTTGGGACATTCCTTAATGTTTATGACAGAGGCCTTATGATAATGTTATCCTGTAATCCATCCAGCTACAGTTCTCCACAGGATAGCATCAGATAAACACTAAGCAGAAAGTTACTGGTAGATCTTGACCCATATCAATTTCTTACATTCCTGTGCCAACATTCAGAATACAATCAACATGATGTGGCTTTTGAAAGGGTGTAAACTGTTCTTAATCTTGTTGCTATGTAGCAAAAAGAAATTTTAAAAACCCAACTAGTCTCAACTAGACTCCTTTTTCATTCCAGTGACTGTTCCCTTCTTTTGGTGTTGCCTGCTAGTTGAGGAAACAGTGAAAGCAAAGGTAGAAGTCTACCTGCATCAAGTTTTCATAGATCATAATGCTATGCACCACCATGCTTCTGAAAACTGGGAAGAGAAACTGACAAAGTCTGCCAGCTGGAATTGAATATGTCATTTGAACTTTTCATGACAACAAAATACACAGATATCAATTCTGTACTCCCAATACTTCTGAACAAGGGATTTGTGGGATTTTAGGCAGCTGTTTGTCTTCACTTTTCTCATACTGTTACCCTGTGAAAAGAGGGTATGGGAATGGGTTGTAGGTCAGAGAACTGTCCCACTCCTAGGGAGAGGCACAATCAACCAGGCAATGGAGAACGGGGCTCTGTGAGGCTGTGTAAGGCACAGATTGATTCTCTAAATGCTGCAGTAATGCTGTCACTCTGGCTTTGGTAATATGGTCAGAATTGCAATGCTACTGCACTACTGGGTTATTTTTCATGACCACTCAGTTCTGGCACCAGTAGATACTGACACTTCTGTATTATACTTGTAGTTTCTAGTGAGCATGGCTGAGCTGCTACTTCTTCTGGACACAGGCAGGTACCAGCGAATTTCTCAGCTGTCATGTCATTTCAGGGACTAGCACGTAGCAGAGAGAAGTCACCCCAGACGTTCACAGAAGAGCAAATACATACTCTGATGTAGGCAGAGGATCCTCTTGAAAGTAGGGGTCCTGCAAAGCCTGCTCTGAGGTAATTCTCTTCGTAGGGTCCATAGTAAGAAGCTTCTGAAGCTGCAAAACATAACAATAAAAATAGCAAAAAGCTTATCAAATTATCATTTTTCAAACTATGACTTGTATGTCTTGGATTGTAGATTGCTAGATTATGTCTGGCTTGTCCAGACAAGCTTAAGTTAGCATTGCTTGTTCAGTGAAGTTCCCAAGAACTGCAATGCACATCCATCAAAGCACTGTGGTTGTGAAGTACTTCTCACATAATAAACAGTTAAATGTATCAGGCAGTATTAATTGCTCAGGCTGAACCACTGCACTAAAGCAATGCTAAATTCAGCTACTACAGGTTCATAAAACATTATTTCTAAATAATAGCTTTTTGTGGTGCATGTATAGCTTTTATACTGTTCTACACTGCTGACACAAAAAGGAAAAAAGTGTCAGAGTGGACTGAACACGACCAGGAGTCTCCGTATCACTTCAGGGACAGAAACAATAAATCTTCATTTTTTGTACTGGCAACATTCCAGAATCAGAGCACTCTGCTACACATGCAGCTCCCAAACCCACTCTAATTGGTACCAAAACGAGAAGGAACAGACCCTCCCTAGTAACCTTTGTTCCTTGCTAAGAGGAAAACAAGCTCAGATTTATTAACTAGAATGCTTTTGACTGCAGCAGGCTAAAGTAGGATAACAATATATTAGTAGTATAAAATAGGAATTATAGATATATCACATAATTTAAAATAGTTACTCATTTATCACATTCTGATAAACTTACAGTAGGAAATCTGGGTGCCCACATTATACAGTATCCTGCTCTCATACAATACTCTTTTAATTCAAGCCAGTAGTGAAAATAAATTTCCTTCTGTCAAGGACATCTCAGCTCAAACTCTCTTTCAGGTCTCCAACAAAAACTGCCTGGATATTCAACAAAAGAATGTGATTTTGGTATGAGTATTTGGGGCTTTTTATTCCAATAAATTAAAAACCTGACATACAATTGTATATTCTATATATAAGCTACAGGAAACAGCCTCAGTAAAAGCACTCACCCTCCTCGAGAAAGGAAATACAAGGAATCATCTTTTTCAATAGTTGTAGTTAACCCTACATGATAGATAAGGTCTCAAAACTCTCTGTACTTTTGCCATTTCCTTCTCAACTCTTCTTATTCACATACTTTATGGGCCACAGATCACAAAAGACTCACAGCAAAACAGAGCCATTTGGGCTGTCTCTCCACCCATCAGTTCATTTGCAACTAGCTCCTAAACGAGTTTCTGCTGCTTGCCTAAAGATACACCTCAAGCTACTCCTGCATTGTATACACCTGGAGGGTTTGAATGGGCACTTATTTACTGCATTTTTGTGTGGTGAGATATCTCTTAACCCTACATTTTCTGTAGGGTTTTTTCTGTGCATCTTCACAAACTGAACATCTAATGATATGCTGGCTCTCCACATAGTGACCTCACACAATACATTAGAGACAACAGTTTGGTACTCACTGTCTTTACTTCAAATCACCTTTCCCTATATGAAAATTTTTTGTCAGCTAGAGCAGCTTCTGGCTCCATTACAGGTTATGCAAATTTCCCAGTTCCTCCACAGTGACCTGTAGAGACTATGATGCATAATCCGTACAAGGCCACTCCTGATCTTTGGTACCAGATGTCATCGTTGACAGAAGAGCACAGGGCATTAGCCTCTGCCCCCTGGACTCCTTCCCTCAGCATTCCTGCTTCACCCCTGAGGATAGTAAGCTAGCCCATTCCAAGTAATACCACACACAATATCACTCCCAGCAAGATAACCTTCCTATTGGTGATGCTACTGTGAACCAGCTTCTTTGAGAAATTCTGATTATCTGTAGCTTCTGGGAAAATAAATTAAAAAAAAAAAAAGTCTGGCAACAATTTGCTTTTAGGGCAGCAGCTGCTAAGACAACATAGGAAACAAAACCAATGAGACTAGATTTCATCAAAATCTCATACTTCCCAGAAGGTCTCAAGCTCTTAGGCTCCACTGGCCTGACATGACAGCTATGAATACTATGCTTGTAACTTTTCCAGGACAGCAAGAACAGACGCCTCTTCCTGAATGGAAAACATTCTGCCCTTTATGTAGACATTATCATTCAATGTCAATCAGCAGAATGCCATAATATCATTCTCTTTGTCAAGAGCCACTTGCTATCCTGCACTGATCTACTTGATGCCATCTGCTCCCCATGATCCACACTTCCTGTACTCATTAGCACAGTCTCTCTCAATCAATGACTGCTACAAAGCAAATGTCTTCAGAGGTCACCCTGCAAGATGGAGAGATGGAGATCATCTCATAAAAATAACTACCTTGGATATGAAGAAGGAGTTTTGGGGAGTCTGTTTCACCTCCAATGTACAGCAATGAGTTATCAGGAAAGCAGTCCATACTCCTGGACGTTCTTATTCAGAGCTTTGGGAGACTGACCTATTTGAGATGAGCCTCTGTTTCTGCAGCTGATCATTACAACACCCTTATTCAGTCCTTGAACTGTGAGAAAGATCTAACAAACTACCTTACTTAGAGAACTAAGTCTGTCACGATGTTCAGAAAGAAGGGCGAAGTATGGTTGGTTTTGTTGTTCTTCAGAGATCTGGTTAATATTTCCCCCAGGAAAAGCAGCCAACCCAACCAAGATGATTCTCAGCTCAGTGTTCAGCCTTAGAAAATTAGTAATATAAGCTGACAGCAAGCAAGTTTTCTTGTGGATTCCACTCTTGGTAGGAAAACATGGAAATTCATGTGCTAACCAATGATGTCTCTTACAATTGTTGGCTTTTCAGTTAGACTTACCCTCCAGGTGATTCCAATGTGTGCCCAGTAAGTTGAGTCTAATAAATTTTAATTAATTTTTCTTCAAGTCTCACTCTTCTTATGGAAATTCTTCCCTTCCACCCACTAGGGACCAACCTACTCTGTTTCCACATCTATTTGTGCCATCATCCAGCAGCAACTAATGAGTCAAAGAGCAAATCTTTGCCAGGACATAGAGAGATGATCTTTGCCAGGACATAGAGAGATGACTGCCATACTGCATTTGTAACTGGAAACAGACCACTGAAAGTCAAGCTGTACTAAGGGCCTCATTACAGAGCTCCCTGTACACAACATTAGCAAAGTCACTTTGAACTTCATTCCTAAATTTAGACAGCACTAAGCCATCACAGAGACATCCAGAAATTATGCTATATTAGACAGAGCAACCCTGTGTTGGCCTACAATGGATGACTCAACTAGGCAACCAGCAAATATATGTTTAGGGATTTTGTTTGGAAACATCCCCAGAATAGTGGTGGACTACTATCAGAGGGAAAAGAAAGAAAACCAAATTACTACAAGAAATAAATTTCTCCTTTAGCTTTTGGGGGCTCTTTAGGTCTCTGAAGCCATACAGAATCAAGACACATATTATACTCACTCCCTTATTTGCACAGCAGACCTAAAAGCAAGGCTGGGTATACAAATGTCTCGCAGATCTTAATTAGAGAAGACTCTGAGATCTTCAATTCCAGCAGTTTAAGCAATTTGTGTATGAATAAAACATTTCAAAAATGGCCAGTTAGTGATAAATAGCTTTTTTAAACATTGGTGTTCATTAGAATGAGAGAGGAAAACAGACACAGATATTACCCTTAGAAATGCAATTTCATTCCTATCATCACAGCAATTTTCAAGTTGTACCTACCAAAAGAAAAACTTTGCTGTCAGGCTTGACTTTGTGTTTCTCCATGTATTTTATGAGGCTACTATTGGCATATCTGAAAAATACAGTTAAAGAAAAACATGTCTGAAATAACAGTGCATTAAAAACATGGCACTCTATCCAGTGACTACAGAAACATCTCCCAACCCTCAGGAAGTAAACTGCAAAAAGAACTGTTATCAGAAGACCTGTCAGATATTTATCTAGCAATTGCACACATAAAGTGTGCTTTTCACCAACAGGATTGCTATCAACTGTGTGAAAACTATCTCCAAGAAACATGCAACTTTTATAGGATATGGATAAGCTGTTGATAAGGACAATGACGGAGACACAACTTGAAGTTTATACTATATTTTTCTAAAGCAACTCTGTCACAGAAAGCATTCAGCAGCTCATCCCAGCTCAGCATTTAAGCCATTGTTTCTGGTTAGAACTTGGCAGGGCAATTAGATTACCATTCTGTCTCCCCAACTTCCAGAAAACCATATAGTCCTTACAGTTCCCAAGCTCAAAATTACCCTAAATACCTATGACGTGTGTCTTGCCTTCAATTTACAGCTCCAGAGGTCATCTACAGCCATTTCCAAAAGAACAAAGCTTCGTATCTTGTGTAAAGCCAGTGTAATGAATCCATGTCAGAGCTGGAAACAGAACCAAAACTCCCAAATCCATGTCCTCCACATTACTTTAAGGAGTCCATGTGACTCCTTACCAGCTCTGATCTATTATCACCACTTGACTAATTTAGCCAAAGCACCAGGAAACAGTGAAAGTGGAAAATTCTCAGATCCTGGACAGGCTTTGAATTGCAAACTGTTGAACATGTCACCTTCAACAGAAATTTCTGTCCAATACATTGCTGCCTCCACATATCTACTTGTCAAAAATACCAGTGCTTCCCTATTCTTCCTCACACAAAATGAACAACATTATTTTGAATATGTAATAGAAGTGGGTTAAGGAGGGTCATTTGTCTGTGCCTACCATAGATTAAATTACACTCATAGCAACCCCTTCTAGAGAAATGAGGAGGCCACTCAGTTGATGTTCTTAGCAAGCAGCCGAGGGAGAGAACACCACTCATGTAAACCAGCTTATTCAAACAGGACAGCAGCCACAGTGTTAGAACCCAAATACTTCAAAATCCCCTCCCCAAGAAGTCAGAGCGTAGGAGCTCATCTCTGCCTCCCCCACACTCAATGAACTGTTGTTACATGATCATTACTTACGTTGTTCTTCTAAAATCTTTCTGAAGAGTTGGATATTCTGGCATCTTCCTTATGTCTTCCCAGTCTTTATCTTCGGTAGTGTGGAAAAAAGAAAAAGCAGTTACAATTCTGAACTTGTAGGTTAAGTAATACTCAGGAAGAAATAACTACAGGAGTTGTTTGACTTCCTGTTTGTTGGCCAGTGCTATTGTTCTTTAATTGCCAGCATTTCCAAATCCATCAAACTGACAGTTTCTTCATACATACACAAACAACTAGTAATTTCCTTTAGGAAAAAAACAACAAACAACTCACTAGCTTTATGTCTGCTGCTTTAATGAAAATAAATTACCTGCAGGGAATCCCATTACACTGAAAATGCGGTCTAGCTGATCGTGATGAAAAGGATTACTTGTTTTGATGTCCTCCTGGCGACAGTGAAATATAGGTTCTGAAGTCAATAGTTCAGCAAATATGCAGCCAATTGCCCAAATATCTACAAAAGAAGGGAAATAATTAATGAAAATTTGCTGTACTCAGTTGCACTGTTTTTTGTTTCTGCATAATTTCTTAACCTGTATAACCACATTAAGACAAAATGCTTCACATTTAAAAACAATGCATTGACATAATACATTAAAAAGCATAAAATCTGGAGATATGCTGTCTATAAACCAAAATTAGAGTCTCAAAAGCTAATTTGTACAGTGGCAGTCCAGCATTTAAAATATTCACAGTTATGTCAGAAACCTACACAATATTTGCTTACAACTTAGCTTAAAGGGCATTCAGTTGATCAAAGATTATTCCTCACAAAGATACATTGAAATAATACTGCTACCACATATTTCAGAACAATTCCAAACAGATAATTGATAACCAAATAGATACTAAGGAGAAGACCAATGGCTCATATGTTTAACCAAATGGGCCAAGCTAGTTAAAATGAGGAAAAAAAAGATCCTAATTTTAATCAAGTGTAGAAGAGTGAGTACTAAACTTTGAAAAAATTAAAATCCTGCTTGACAACTAACTCCCACAGCAACAATACTTTAACTGTCTCATCTACATCTCATGTACATAAAGAAAACAACAGCATGATATCTGACAGTTGGACTTGATGATCTTAGAGACATTTTCTACCTTAATTGTTCTATATACTGAAAAAAAAAAAAACCCCACTTCTATTTCATAAAATTCTCATTAATATGCTTTTTTAGATTAAATCTATTGTGGACCAAAACATTAATTTACAAGAGAATAGCTTTTCAGATTACATGTATGCATTCTAGTCACTGCCCATGACCACCCATCTTAGTGTTCTGTACAACCCAAATGGTTTATTATGCATCTTACAGTGAAAATGTGAATTTGCCAGTGAGAAGAAGTTTGTTACCAGCTCAAAAAACCAAAACAAAATAAATCCCAAAAAAACCAAAACAATAATAAAAAAGGATTTAAGGATTTGCTACACTGATAAATATGTGTCTGGGATACTGGGAAAAGAACTTTGGAAAAGGTGTTGAGAACAGATTAATAATAACCAAAGTCTGCTGTATACAAGCGTGTGGAGACTTGTGTAGTAATTGAAGTTAAATTAGATGAACCTAGGAAAACTTTTTCATTTTTTCTATTTTAACAGAATAAATACAAAAAGCAATTTAACTTCAATGTATATCTTTAACCAGAGTGTAGTTTGTTGAATTCAGACTAAAGAAAACACCTAGAAAAGTCTCTTGGTTGTTGCAATTAATCTGAGACTCCAAACCCCACTTGCTGACAATGGTGATGTTTGACCCATGCTGCCTATGAGAAACAGAGTGTCCTTAAGAAAAAGCACTGTTCTCCTTATGTAGGAAATAAAGAAATGAGCCATCACACTCTATTTGCCAGACCAGGTCAGCTCCATTTCCATCATGTGACAGGTGTGTTGAGGTGTCCCAATATACAGCCCTTTCCACCAACCTCCCTTACAGGAAAATCTGATAACATTTCATTCAGACTTTACAGTTTTGACAGGGTATAACTTGCTCTGTGCATTACATCACATTCTCGAGGTTTTATCTTCCTTTGATTTTCCTATTAGCCTTATCTGCATGAAAACAAGATCTTTAGCTGTTGAGATTCTATCTACTCAAGCAACTAATGCAGCATATTAATCACTATTGCTGCCTGGGTAGTAGGCATAAATTATCTACTCCAGAATGGAAATTACTTATTAATTGAGGAATGGAATCTTCATTTAACAGTATCTATTCACTCATTTTCATATGATAGCAAATTCTTTTGGAGATGGCTTTTTTAGAGGCCAAAAGAATTGCAGCTCTCTTAATTTTCATGGCTTTCTACAGTGCTCACTGTCCATCACATTGTGAGGGAGAGGCCGGGCCACTGCTCATTATTACATTATTAACTGCTCTATCCAGACTGACCTTTTCATGAAAAAAAAACCCAAAAAGGTAAAATCTAGTAATCTAGTATTCTCCCTGAAAGCAAAACTCAACTGGGAAATCTCCCTGATGTGACAGACCAAACTTCAAAACTGTTTCCTTCATCACCTGCACTGTGTGAGAGAAGAGCCACTACAGAGTGTACAGAGAGTGCATTTTAAACCCTCTGAGAATTCAGAAAGACAAACATTGTATCAACTGGATGTTACATATGTATAAACACTGAAAACTCCCAAGATGGTGTTATAATTTTCTGTGGGATGGCATTATTGGGCGAGTCAAACACGAGACTACTTTAATTTTGATCAACTGTTATATTCTCTAGCAGTTCATATGCTGGCATTCAACCCTTTATGCTTCCTGCCAGATATTCTTCACCTCCAAAAAACTAATTATAAAGTAAGCCAAAAGAGTTGGTACAGAAAACCTGAAGCTTTGATTTATGTAAGAAAAGATTAAATATATAGAGAAGGCCTTGCAGCCATGCAGCTCATGCAGGTCAGGGTCTTCTCTTCGTGAACCTTTTATGTCACCTGATCTTGAACACATCCTTGGCGTATATTGATACCATTCACAGTTAATGATTTTCTGCCAAGGTTAACTAGTCTTTTTGTTTGTTTCTTCTAAAAAATGTTCATAATTTGCAAAACTAATGTACCACATGTGGCACTTTTTCTAGCAGGAATGCTTCATTAAATTCTGCTAAGTTTAAACACTTCATAGATACAAGCAGTCTTAATAGGTATTTATCTCCTACACTGTTCACAGTAGACAACCAAACACAAGTTTTAGGTCTAACTATGGGGAAAAAGTTCTTGTCTAGTGCCATTTAAGGTTTTCCATTTATGACCCTTAAAAACTAATGATTATTACATCTACTTCAAATATATTCCAAGTAACACCTACTACTCCGCAGTAGTGGGCACTGACAGAGCAAACCTTAAAACACACAAGTAATATTTTTCAAATACAGTGTATTATTGTTCTAATGCACATCATCTGCCTCTAGCACTAAAGGAGCTTTTTATAATGTTATATAAAAATTTCATTATAAATAAAACTTTTTTTAAAAGCAAGCACCAAAATAAGTAGCACAAATTATCCAACCATTAATTCTCTCCTCCCCCCTCTACTAATGATCAAGAATGGTGAGTGGCCTCACTGCTCCAGAGCCAAAGCTAAAACTACTGAAGAGTTCCATTTGTTATGTCCCAGACCCACCAAAAACTGGGACACAAAGTCCTACAGGGGTTGCACTGGGTACTAAATGTTTTCCCATCCTAATTTCTCGCGAGGATGCTAATGAGTTTACCAGAGTAACACAACCATTCCTGTAAAGATCGTTCTGTTTCCTACAGTCTCTTCCACTGTCATCAGGTTTCAGGACTGATCCGTGGCAACAGGTTTTTGCTGTCTGTTGGGCTGTGTTGTTTTGTTGATGTTCTCCTTCAACCCCAAGACTTACAAAGTCCTCACTTCCCCCAGGTTTACACTGGACCCCAGTGCAGGCCAGTTTTGCTCCCTGGCTCTGGAAAGAGAGGTAAGAGTGACTCTTAACCATGCGACTTCCTCAGGTTCCATTCAAACCTGTTCTCCACTGAAATACCCTTCCACTATGACAATACAACATAATTTTATGAAAAGAAATAAACCTCAGCCTTTTATGGGTGGACACTTGTGATTGGTAAACAGACTTCCTATATAAATGCCTGTGTGCACAGATAATTAAAATATTTGAATGGCTATGTCCCAGTTTTAAAACCTGGGACTCTAATAGCTTTACAGGTCAGCTGTGAAAATCCTGCATGTCCTGCTCTACTTTAGCATTGTAGCCAAGAAGGGATGCTGTTTCAATGATAGGGCTGATTAAGCAGACAAATGCTTGTGTATTCTTTCATTTCTATGGAACAATAATCTCATATCTGTATTTCTTCCAGTATCTTGGAAACATTCCTTAAGAATAGTATGACCACTTAAGACAATAAGACAATTTATTAAGCAATAGCCTTGACTCATAAAAGGAAACATCTTTTCCCATGCATATTAAGCAAAACTTTTCAGTGAACACAGGACAGAATCCAAGATTAAATACATCATAATTCTTAACTATATCCAAGAAAAAAAAAAATAAACAGTCTCTTAGTCTCATGGAATTCTTTAATAAAATTCTCTTTAAAAAAGCAAGTAAAGACTTGGAAAACATCTATTTAGGTGCAATCAATCTGAGGAATTCATCATCAGTGAGGTTTAGCGCAACAGCATCAGTACTCAACCAAAGTACTTTTTTCCTGTTGTTGTTTTGAACATTTTGAACACGAAGTCTACACTCTTGGACACGTGAATGCTGGTAAAGGCAATGAAGAGCAGAAGGACAGACAGCAGAATATAGCTGCCCTGCACCTGCCAAGAGCTAATGCAACAAGCAGGCTACACAAGAACTAGTTGGCAGGACCTCAGCCCAAACAGGGCTTTTCAGGCCACCTGTAGGAGCTACAGCATCTACTTAAGATCCTCCAAAACTTTCCAGTCAAGTCAAGGACAAACAACACACCAACGGACTGGAAACCTAAAATAGGGCTGTACAGGCAAATGTGTCTAAGTTTTTCAAATAACCTTCAAGTGGTGTAATGAAAAGATATAACCTCTTATTAAAAAAAAAAAAAAATCCATCTCATGCTGAGCACAACAGCGTTCAAGTGGTGTAATGAAAAGATATAACCTCTTATTAAAAAAAAAAATAAAATAATCCATCTCATGCTGAGCACAACAGCACATTCTAGACCTACCAGGAATCTTTATACACAAGAGTTTGGGAGCACAGAGATAGTATAGAAAAATAATTTCTTAATTTTTATGCTGGTTTTAGCATTAGAAATTAGATTTAAGAAAATAATATACCCTTAAACAGGGATTTCTTTGGTCTGGTAAGGTGAACAAAACATGACTCTTACATATGTTTTGTTATACTTATACACAAGGGAAAGACCTTCCCATTCATACATTAAGGTCACAATTTTGATGCGTTTCATTTAATCTTTAGTCAGCA